ATCAGAATGAAGTGTTAGTCTAAGAAACAGGCCACTGCTTTCGGCTTTGTCACATGGTTGTGAGTAAACATTCAAAAAAGATGTATTAGTATCCACAAGAGAATTAGCTAATTTTGTCATTCCTTCAGGTTTAAATTGAGCAGACTAGAATCTCACTACCAGCAAGAGATAATGGTTCCATTCAAACGAACCTAGAGGATAGCAGCAACAGCCACAGAAAAGAATCAGATACCTGATGTGAGACAGACTTGACCTTGGGACTGCTGCTTTATGGAACTAGAGCTAGAGGTTTTTACCCTTTCAAGCTTGCTGGAGGACTAGGGATAGGGAGCTGTTGTTCTTAGGTGCCACTGAGTTGAGTATGACTTATAGTGACCAATGAGCAACAGATCTGAATCCTGCCTTATCCTCTACTATCCTTACAATCTCTAACATACTTGAGCCAGTTGTTGCAGTCACTGTGTCAATCTATCTGGTTGAAGGTCTTCCTGTCTTTTGACAATTCTCCACCTTTCCAAGTATAGTGTCCCTCTCCAAGAAATAACTTCTCTGGCAACATGCATATTCTCATACCACCCTTGATCACTGGACAACCAAGAATCTCTGAGATGACACCAAGGAAATCATACTTAAAGAATACTAAAAGATATGGGAAAGAAATTAAAGAACAAAATGGATATCAGAAGAGATGCCAAAACATGTTTTAGAATCTATAAAAGGTAAAACAAGCAAACAAAAAACCAAATAAATAATGAAGTAAGAGAACGAAATAAAAAAAATTTCAAAGGATGGATTGAGAAGAAAAATTAAGATCTTTCCAAAGTAAAAGCACATGTGCCAAAACCTAAAGGGAAGATATCAATATTTTTTAGGCTGAAATAAAAGGGGGGGAGTGCTAAACAAGCTTAAAGTAAAATAGTGAGAAAGTCTATGGGCAAAACATTTAATGATACTTGAAGTATCAACAAGAAGATGAAAGGAATACAAAGAATCACTATTAAAAAAACCAAAAAACACCCAATAATAAAACACCAACTAGTTGACATTCAATAATGCCAGGATGTGATCAAGAACAAATGGTATGGAAGGAAAATTTCAAGTTGAACTGAAAGTATTGGGGGATATAAAGGCTTGGGGAATTGACAGAACACCAACTAAAATTTTTAAATGAACATATGTAGTGTTTGAGGCATTCAGTCATCTATGACAAGAAATGTAGAAGAAAGTTGTGTGGCCAAATTTAATAAATTCCTATTGGGCATATTTCAAAGGAAAGGGAGCTAACAGGATGTGCAAAATCTTGATTAATATCATTTATGTCATAGGCAAGTAAAATTATGCTGAAGAAAATTCAAAAGGGTTAAAGTAGTGCAGAAATTTAAAAAAACTGCCAAAGTTAAAATTTGATTCAGAAAACCATATAGATTTAAAAAAAATATCAGATACCGGATGGATCTTGGGCAAAAGCATAGAATACACTAAGTATATCACTTTTGTATTCTTGGCTATGCAAACACAATCAAATTTCCTTATGGATAATATTAAGAACAATGAGAATTTCAGAACATTTAACTATAGAGAATACTGATAATTCAATAGTGGTGCCACTTTGTTGGTTCAAATCCACCTGAGAGAAAAATAGATAATGCACACTTGTGTGATTTACAGCCTCAAAAATCCCACTGAAGATGGGTTAGCTATGAGTTGGTTCCAACTGGATGGCAATGAGGACGTGTTATTTTGTTTGGTTTTTTTTGTTGTTGTTTTTTAAAGTTATTCAATAACCACACTTATACAGAATCATAAAAAAACACGTTGTTGTTGAAGTTGATTGTCATCGAGTCAAGGTCAACTCATAGTGACTCTATGAATAAAATACCTAATGCCTTTGCATAGCTATTGTGTTTCTCCAAGTTTATAGAGTTTCCAGAAGCATATGGTTTAGAAAGTGGATGCCACTCCTGCTTCCCAATCTGTTTTACAGCTGGGAGCTGCACCAAACACTGTTCACAATGGGAAATCATTATGGTAATTGATACCCTCATGGCACAAGGTTCAGCATCATAGCAAACCCAGGTTACCTCATACAGCACATTGACAAAGAGAGATGTGCAAAGTGGAAGAATGTTCCTCCAGATATAACAGCACTAGTCTCATTTAGCAGTGGTTAAGTGTTGTCAAGTCAAATATGACCCAGAGTAAGCTTTACACAAAATATCTGAACACTGTTTTAGAATTAACATCATTTCTGTACATTTATAAGAGAGTTTGTACAGTTTTAAGAGGCATTTAGTTTAGGAAGTGGATGTCACTCCTGCTTCCAAACATGAATCAATCTGGAAGCTCATCCAAATATGGAACATAATGGGTAATCTTTATGATTTGCTTAAAATTCTATTTTATTAATTTTAATGAACATTTTACAGAGATTTTGGATTGTTGCACATTATGATACTTTAACATGACTATGGTATAGTGTTCATCATAACAGCAACTACAAGTTCTTCATTACAGCAAATAGACAAATGATTGCTGTATCTTTTAAAGAATATTTGTCTAGACATTAAAAAAAATAAGAATGATTAAATAAAAATAAAATCCCAAGGGCCACCCACTTTTGAGGGGCAAGAAGAACAGTAACACACAACAAAAAGACCCCAGAAACTTCCCTTGCCTGACTGCTACAAGACTAGCCACCATCAAGCCGCCAGACATCAACTAGCTCTTGTTAAAATAGAACAAGACAATATTGTATATTTTAAATCTAAAAAAGGAATTTTTCAGGATTGGATCCTTTTGTCATATTTGTCCATCTGTTTGTTGAAAATATAATCAGAAAAGGAAAACTGTATAAAGAGAAAAGCACCATCTGAATTGGAGAAAGATTAATTAGTAACCTACAAGATGGATGATATAACATTGCTAACTGAAAATGAGAAAAACTTTAAGCACTCGCCAACAAATATTGAAAATTGTAGCTATGGGTTAAATTTCAATAAAGAAAATAAAAACTGTCACTGGTTTGAATGGACAACATCAATGTAAACTGATAAAAAATTGAAATTATGTTCTTTGCTTAAAGTTGATTTTTTTAACTACTCTTTTAGCCCCATCTGGTTTCCAACTACCTTACCTATCAACACATGGTCTTGAAAATCATCAACTGCTGTGGAACTAGGGAAAAAAAGAGAGTGCTTCCCACACTAGGCGTCAAGACTGGAGCAAGGTTCTGGTAGCAAGACCATGATGATGGTGGTGGAGAGATTGTGGCAAGGTGTAACCAGAGGAGCCGTGAGATAAAGGCTGGACACAGTTAAAGGTGCCACTGTGTTGTTGGGTAATTAAGGAGAAGCTTACTTATAACTGGTCTGAGTTAAATCTTGCTGGATGATTGAGGAAACCAGAGGCTTCTTGAATTTGTGTTGCTGAACTGAAACTAAAGCCTAGACTAATGAAGAATGTGTGCCTTGAGGCTGCTGAATTAAAACCTGCATTTACACTGGGTGATATTCTTTGTTCCTGCCACTCTCCAACTTATTTCTCTGATAGACGCCATCCTCAGTACAATAGCTGTAAGGTCTGGGAATCAACAATGTGTAAACTAACTTCTTGCTGTCGGTGTGGCCCTAGAGACAAAATGAAGCCTGGTCAATCATTAAAAACGAATGTTATTACACTTTGTTGTTGTTAATCAAATCTTCCTTATCATAAAGTAACTACTATTTACCCATATTATTAAGACATTATCAATCATCTTTTATGAATCCTTATCTTCACATGAAAGTATCTTTCCAGTATCTTTTTTGTAGTTTTACCTTAAGAGCACGCTAAATTTAGGCTATCCTTTGTAACTGATCTTTGGAAGTAATAATTGCAACAATTTTGCCAATAATAATCCAATGTTATTTCTTTGTCATTTCTTTTTCAATTGACATACTCTTTTCAAAAGTAATGATTCACAGTTCTATGGGACACTCCTCTATGCTAAAAATGGAATCTCTTCAGAAAACAGATTTTATGTCATAAAGAGTAATTCATGAATTATTTAAAGTAAATTAGAAGTATGACTTCGCCTAAATGAAAAGGAATGGTTTAAAAAAATAAATAATTTGCCATCACTGAGAAATATCTTGCATCTCTATGTTTATTACAAAGAAAAATTTCTTAATGTAGAATATTAGAAACAGTATTTAGTTAACTTCTATTTTGAGGTACATATTGTAAGTGTGATAAGTATATTTTATTGTGCAATAAAATGTCAGAAAAATCTACAAAAAAAGCCCCATCTAACCAACAAAAAAGAGCAAAACGAAGCCCATGCAAAGTTCCATCCATAAATCAAAATTAGTTTTGAAAGATTAATATATTTCATTACAAAAATAAAACTGGATAATACAAAACTATGAAAATTTCATGACTTCAAAGTCTTCAATTAAAACGCCTTATTGAAAACCTAGCTTTTATGCATGTGATAGATAAAATGCAAAATAAGCCATGAAATATTGAAATTAACTTTATCAAACTCTAGATTTTAATGACTAGAAGAAAATCAAATATAAAGCTTTTGGCTTAAAGAGTGAGGTTTTAATGTAAAATAAGGAAAATCAGTTTTTCAGTAATTGATTTTTTAAAATTAATGCAAGTGTCAGAAAGAATTATTTTTGAATCTGAGTCTAATGACACATTTTAAACTTCAAGAGGAAGCACAAGTAAGCATTAGAATAACTCTACACAGTATCAAGTGAATATTAAATCAGTTTCTGAATTCAGGCTATAAAGCTAAATCAAGCCTTCTGTAAATGTCAGAAATGTTTGCATGGTCTGTGGAAAGCTTAATTCATTCTTTTATATACCAATATTCACTTTTTATTTTTAACCTTGTCTTCATAGTCACTGCTTCTCTTAATTTTAAGGCTGAGATTTACCAAAAAAAAAAAAAAAGCACAAAACAGAAACAATAAATTGAATTCAAGGCTGGTATGAAAAAGTAAATGTCTTACCCTGGCAGAGTGGAGTGAGGGAATCCCATTGATACATGCCAACTGGATTGCGTATACAAGTTGCATTGTTGTGGCCAATCATCCGATACCCAGGCTTGCAAAAATAGTGCACTTTACTTCCAACTGTTCCTGCAGTCCGATTTACAATACCACCATTCTTCAAGGTGTGAGTCAAACTGCAATAAGGAGCTAAGGGCACAAAAATACACAGATTAATTCGCGGGTGCATAAATAAGTAAACAAATAAATTTTGTCCATGCTGAGATTAATATAAATGTGTGGTGGCACAGACCATAGAGAATCGTGCTGTTAACCAAGCTTCACCTCTCAGGAGGTTTAAATCTACCAGCGGCTCCAAGAGAGAAAGATGAGCAATTACTTCCCTTTTTATTTACAGCCCAGAAAACTGCTGGAGGGGCAGTTACAAGTTGGTTCAGACTTGAGTGAGAGATAAAAAAATATAGAGTGAGAAATTAAAATAGGTATTTATTTTTTTTTAAATCATGAAAGAAATTTAGTACAGAAATTCAAGCCTCTTGCCTCTTATTTTTTAATTTTGGTTGTCTATAACAATGTGACACTGATGTGTCAAATGTGGTAATGGTTACCCATGGAGGACAGTGTTTGGTGGAGTTTCCCAACTAAAAGAAGCTTGGAAGCAAGAGTGGCATCCACTTCTGTAAATAGCTTGCCTCCTACGACTCGACAGCACTTAACAACATAGAGAGAGACCAGTTGGCCTAGGGGGCTAAAAGTGATGCTACCAAGCCAAAGGTGGTGACTCTAATCTGCGGCCGTCCAGCCTGTTTTTAATTGTTTTTGGTCAAACATTCTTCTAGGTCGTATAGCCATGGTGTGTCCACTCCACAAGTTACAAAGGTAACTTGTGGTTGCTGTGAAGCTGAACACTGTGACACTGATGTGTCAAATGTGATAATGGTTATCCATGGTGGACAGTGTTTGGTGGCGCTCCCCGAATAAAACAAGCTTGGAAGCAGGAGTGGCTTCCACTTCCATAAAGAGCTTGCCCTGTGAACCTGGAGAAAGGATGAAAGTCACACAAGTGTCAAGGACTTCGTTCGTAGGGTCACTATGACTCACCTATGACTCCAAAGCACTTAACAAAAACAACAACATAACAATCTGCAGAATGTATAACACTGAGTGGAGTTTTGTAAAGTTAAACATAGATTGATTGTGCTGAATGCCCCACTCATCATGTAAAGTCTAGCTACCCACTGAGAAAAGGGATTTATAGCCAGATAAGAGTTCCAGCCCCAGCATAAGAAATGATAAGGTACTTCTCTGGGAATCACACTTAAAACATAGTATTCTTATCATTAAAGTAGAAAAAACAGAAGAGTGTAGCAGTCATGTAATCAAAGCCATTAACTTTCTTTCTGTTGTTAAGTGGACTTTTTGAATTTTACAATAATGTAAGCTGCAAACATTTTTTGTTGTTTGATTTTGGTTTGTTTTTTTTTTTTTAAATAAGAGTAAAAAAATGCTGAAGAAAGAGCACTACTTCAGGTCATTAAAAATCTCACAATAGATTTAATCATTTGTATTCTAAATAAGCTTTTAAGAATTAGAGACAGACATTTGTTAAAATAACATAGTCTTACCTACACTGAGTATGAAAGGTTCTGCATTTTATTTATATTTGTAAAGAAAGAGACAAATTTTATTCTGCAAAACCAGCTTCATTAATTTATAAAATCCTATTCATTCTTTTCTGATGAATTTAAACATTAGAAAAATGAAAGGTTTTGAAACTCTTGATTTATTCTAAAAGAAGATGTTTTCATATGCACTATCATGCTAGTGCTCTGGTGGTTTAATGGTAAAGAATGGTGCTGTCAACCCAAAGTACACAGGTCAAATCTACCAGCTACTCTGTGGGAGAAATCTCCTCCCATTCAATTTACCACTTATGAAAAATCCACAGGAGGACCTGCTATCAGTCGTTTCTGACTTGACGGTACACAATAACAAGAAAGGGAAAGGGAGAGTTGAGAAAAAGATGAAGGCTTGAAACAAAATAATTTGACACAGTGTCTGTAGCAATGGGCTTGAGCATGTCAGAAATGGTGAAAACGGTATAGGATAGGCAAGGTTGAGATGGCTTCTGCACAGAGCCACTAGGAGTTGGCTCCAGGGCACCTAACAACTTCCCTTTGAAAGCTGCATATATTAGTATACACATATAGATCTGAATGCTTAGAACAGAATCTTTCTTACAAATGAATTGATAAGAACCTTTTGGAAAGCCTCGTATCGTATTAAAGAACCCTGGTCGTGTAGTACATTATATATTGGTCATCTAACTAAAATGTAAGAAGTTCAAAATCACCAAGATGTTCCACAGGAGAAAGATAGGTAGTTTCCTCCCTAAAAGATTTGCATTTTTAAAAATCAGTGGCAGAATCTATTAAAGTAATAGATTGAGTTTCATTTATCATAGTATTGCCTAAAAGTAATATCTATGCCAATGTCCTTATTTAGCAACTCAGAGTTTATAAGAAGTCTCAGCTGGAACGATCCTCCAAATCAAGATTTCCTTTAATAATGTTATCATTAAGTGCCGTTGAATTGATTCAGATAATAGTGACCGTATGTACAACAAATTTAAAGTGTTTCCAAGCCTGTGTCATCTTAAATTCTCCAAAATACTGATGTCAATTAGTGTAGTCATTGAATCAATCCATAGTGTTGAAGGTCATTTCTACTTTTCTAAACTTTTACCCTTTCAAACATGATATCTTTCCAGGGATTAATCCCTGCTCACAAGATGGTTAAAGCATTTTTTTTCCCAGAAATAATATAGTCGTTGCATTAGGTTAGAAATCATTAACCACTGGAAGAAAAACATTCACTCATAGTGCCATTATTGTTTTTATGAATCATCAAGTTGGACCACATTCTAGTTGACCTTCCAATGGGTTTTCAGAGACTAAATTGCACAAAAGTAGATAGATCATTTTAGTTTCATGGAGCAGCCAGTGGACTTGAATCACTAAACTTTGAGAGAGCAAGGCAACTTCTTGCCACTAGGCTGCAAGAGCTACTATACCGCCTTTAACCATATTATTTCTATTATTAATTCTAAGCAATATTTTATGTTTGAAAACAATGTTGTGTAATCAGGTACACTGATCTGTTTTGCACAATCACTATGTAAATTATAAAAGACAATGAAAAATATTTATTTTATCTGTGATATGTACAGATCCCAGAGCATTTAATGATGCTCATGAGGAACCTATAGCTGGACCAGGAAGCTATTGTGTGAACAGATCAGGGGAACACTGCAGGATTTAAAATTCAGAGCGAGTAAGTTAGGGTTGTATTTTCTCTCCATACCTATTCAATCTGTATGCTGAGCAAATTATTTGAGAAGCTAGAAAGGAGTGTGGCATCAGGATTGGAGGAAGACTCATCAATAACCTGTGTTAAACAGATAGCACACCCTTCCTTGATGAAAGTGAGGAGGACTTGAAGCACTGTTGCAGAAGATCAAGGAATGCAGCCGTTGGTATTGATTGTTTCTCAGTATCAAGAAAATAAAGGAGATAGAAACTGTCAACATCTTCATCTTCCTTGGATCCACAATTAACACCCTTGGTACCAGTTGTTGTTGTTATGTGCCATCGAGTCTCCTTTGACTCATAGCGACCCTATGTACAAGAACCCTAAATGCCGTTCTATCCTGTGCCAACCTCACTGTCTCAAACACACTCATTCCCACCACTCCACACACAGAATCGATCCATCTCATCGAGGGTCTTCCTCTCCTGTGCCGTCCCTCCACTCTCCCAAACGTGATGTCCCTTTTCGAGGACCAGTCCCTCTTTGCAACATGCCCAAAGTATGTCAGACAAAGCTTCAGAATCCTTGACTGCAAGGAGCATTCTGACTTCACCCTCTCCAGGATAAATGTGTGTTCTCCTAGCAGTCCATGGTATATTCAACACTCTTCTCTAGCACCACAGCTCAAAGAAATCAATTCTCTTTCTATCATCCCTATTCACTGTCCAACTCTCAGATGCATAGCACGTAATTGCAAAGACTACAGCCTGGATCAGGTGCACCTTAGTCTCTAGCCTGACATCGTTGCACTTCAGTACTCTTGAGAGGTCCCTCACAGCTGACTTTCCCAATGCAATTTGTCTCCTGATTTTATGGCTGCTGTTATCAAGAGTGTTGACTGTATAACCAAGTAAACTAAAACTGTTAACTATCTCAATCTCTTCACCATCCATACTGATGCTGCCAATTGGCCCAGTGGTGAGAATTTTTGTTTTCTTGATGTTGAGCTTCAATCCATATTGAAGACTTCAGTCCTTGACCTTCTGCAGCAAGTGCTTCAGGTCCTCCTCAGTTTCAGCAAGCAAGGTTGTGTCATCTCCATAGTGCAGGTTGTTGATGACTCTTCCACCAATCCCGATGCCACATTCCTCCTCGGACAGCCCAGCACCTCAGATGATCTGTTCTGTATATAGATTGAAAAGGTATAGAGACAAAATATATCCCTGACAGACCCCCTTCCTGATTTTAAACCATCCAATGTCTCCCTGCTCTGTTCTGATGACTGCCTCTTGGTCCAAGTATAGGTTTCACATTAGCACAAGCAAATGTTTTGGGATTCTCATTCTTTTCAGAGTCAGCCATAGCTTGTTGTGATCCACACAGTCAAAAGCCTTTGCATAGTCAATTAAGCACAGAAACATATTCTTCTGGTATTCTCTGCTTTCTATCAAGATCCATCTAACATTAGCTATAATATCCTTAGTACCACGACCTCTTCTAAATCTAGCCTGCACATCTGGGAGTTCTCTGTTGTCATATTGTTCCAAATGTTTTTGGAATAGGAAATAAGTATTGCACTGGGAAAATCTGCAGTTAGGGACTATGCCAAACTACTGAGGAGTAATGATGTCAATTTGAGGACTAAGGTGTGCCTGATTCAGGCCATGTTCCTTCTGATTACTTGCTTTGCATCTGATACCTGGACAATATAAGAATTACAGAAGAATTGATGCCTTTGAGCTGTGGTTTGGAGGAACAACCCTGAACATTACATGAACAGCCAAAAGGACAGATATGTCTTGGAAAGGGTGCAGTGAGAGTGTTCTCTGGAGGCAGGAATGATGAGGTTTTGCTTCACATACTTTGGGCTTGTTGCTAGGAGGGGCTATTCTTTATGGAAGGACATTATGGGAAGGATGTAAGGTCGGCGAAGGAAAAGAAGACCTTTAACTGGGTGGATTGACACAGTGACTGCTGTAATGGGCTCTTGTGTGTCAGGTAGTGTGAAGATGGTACAGGAGAGAACAGGGTGTAGATATTTTGTTCATAGGGCTGCTATGAGGCATACTTGACTCTATGGCACCTAACAATAACAACATACACAGAACAATTACATCTGTAAAAAGAACCATTGGAGAACCTTAATATCAACTGTGTAAACTAGACCACATGCAGATTATGAAACAGAACATCAACTACTCATATGCAAATTCAAATTAAAGTGGTAGAAGTTTAAATCAAATCCATTGGAACCAAAATTTGACCTTGATTCTAAGCTACTTAAATATAAAAATCATGGAGATCAAAAATATCATCCATGAAGAAGGTAAAAAGTCATTACAGAGACAGGAGGAAAAGACCAAAGTGGATCTCAGGAGAGGCCTGAAATATTGCACTAGAGTCCTGAGAAGCCAAAACAAAGGAAAGTAAGGAGGAAGTTAAGGAGCTGAGCAAAGGATTTCAAAGGGCAACTTGGGAAGACAAAGCAGTCTTTTTTTTTTCTCCATTCATTCATTGTCGCACTTTTCACTCTGCCCACCCCCTCACCCTCCCAATATACTCTTCTCTTTGAAAAGTAAAAGAAGAGTTCTCCCATTGTTTTATAATCTCTTCCCCCAGGTCCATTGCACTATGCAGCCCTAGCTTTGGACTCCTGTCATGACAATAATATCTAATCACATATCCCTTTTAAAGAGTTTTCTCCCTCATCTGTTTCAATGCAGCATCCATTATTTAACCCATCTTTCTCAGTCTTCCCCAACCCCAATGTCAGTCCTGTTTTACAACAGTGGCACTGTGCAGTATTTGTCCTTTTGTTACTGAGTTATTTCATTCAGCATAATGTCTTCCAAGGTCACCCATTTTGAATATTTCATGAGTTCCTTGTTTTTCAACACAGCATAGTATTCCATTGTGTGAATATATGAGAGTTTCTCTGTCCATTTGTTTGTTGATGGGCACTTAGGTTGGTTCCCACTTCTTGCTACCATGTACAAAGTCGTTATAAACATGGTTGTGCATATATCTACTTGGGTGGCAGTTATGGTCTCTATGGGGTATATTTCCAGTAATGGAACTCCTAAGTAAAATGGCATTTCTATTTGCAACTTCTTGAGAAAATGCCAAACCAACTTCCACCATGGTTGCACCATTTTACATTCCCACCCACAGTGAATAAGGGTTCCAGTTTCTCCACAACCTCACCAAAATTTGCTGCTTGCTATTCTGTTAAATTTTGCTATTCTTACTAGGGTGAGATGATATCTCATAGTTTTTCAAAGTAGTCTTATAATGGAATATGCAAAGAGCTGGAATTGGAACATCAGATGGGCACAAATTGCTTGGAATTTTTTTAAGCTGAAGAAACTGAAGCATAAATTCAAACCTTAAAGTGCAATATTTAAGTATGCTATAGGCAGAATATTAAAAGATCCAGGAAGCATTAAAAGAAGATGGAAGGAGTATAAAGAGTCACTGTAGCCAAAAAATTGCCTGACACCAAATAATTTCATGAAATTCGATTAAGAGACAATGATGAATAAGGAGAAAGTTAAGATACTCTAAAGGAATTGGCAAAAACAAGGACCTAGGAATTAAAGGAATATCAATTTATATATTTCAGTGAACAGATGCTTCCCTGGATATGCTCACCAGGTTTTGCCAAGAAAACAGGAGAACAACCATCTGGTTAACTAACTGGAAAAGATTAATATTTATTCTCATTTAAACAAACAAAAAAAAATGGTGATTGGGCAGAGTGTGGAAATTTTTGAGTAATATCACGGCTCTGGTGGCCTTGTGGCAAGAAGCTGAACTACAATCCTGAAGGTTTGTTTGTGGTTCTTTGGGAAAAGGATGGGCATTATCACACATGAGTTAAATCCTGCTAAAGATCATCCAAAAATGTCAGTAGTTCACATGTATAAAACATACAGAGGCTGGAAATGCAATATGTTGCCAAAGTATCAATTATAGTGACTGGACCACCTATAACTATGTCAGAGACAGCATCACTTAGTTGTTACTCTAAAAGCACTGTGATGAACTCCAAGCAGAGTTCACTGAACTTTAAGTAATATCTTTTAAAGGAATACATATATCTGAAAGCCTTCATTTTGTATTATTGATAGTTTAATAAAGAATTTTCATGTTTTAATGTAAATAGCAATAAAATACCAAACCAAAACATCAAAATAAGAAAACAAACAAAAATAAAACATCAATCAAACAAAATATTTTAATCCCCAGAATTCAAGGCACAGCTTCATCTCTAGGTTACTGTCTCTTGTTCGGATAAAACCCCATGAAACCTACTACTTTTGGTTCTGACTTTTAGGAATTCTCCATTAGGTTTCTGAGATGCTAAATCTTACTGTAAGGAGATGGTCCATCATTTTCTCGAGGAGTCACTGGTTGATTTGATCCATCAGAGATGTGACCTTTTGGTTAGCGGTACAGCACATTACATATGTCTTGATGTAGGTGAAGTTGAGCAGAGCGTAACTCACAACAACCCCGTGAACAATATATGGAGACCTTGCCCAATTCTGCAACATCCTCACAATCTCCAACTGCATGGATACAGATCTGATCACTATAATAAACTCAAAACTCAAATTCATTGTCATCAAGTTAGAACCAACCAGCTAATCCTCCAAGTAGGTTTCTGATGCACAACTCTGTTTGTACTGTCATCAAGAGCAACTTTCATTATCATAAAGTTGTTATTGTTGTTATGTGCCACAGAGTCGCCTGTGACTCAGCAACCCTATGTACAATAGCTCTGAACCCTGCTCTATCCTGTGCCAACCTTTTTGTCTCTGACACATTTAACCCCATTACCCCAGTAATCGATCCATCTCATTGAAGTTCTTCCTCTCCTGGGCTGTCCCTCCACCTTTCAAAGCATGATGTCTCTTCTTGGCACATGCCCAAAGTATGTCAAACAAAACTTCAGAATCCTTGCCTCCAAGGAGCAGCTTGGTTTCACTCTCTTTAGGACAAACCTGTTTGTTCTTATAGTATATATGTTCATGGTATATTCAATATTCTTTTCCATTACCACAGCTCAAAGGCACTAATTCTCTTTGTATAATCCCTAGTCATTTCCATTCTCATTCTAATTGAAGCACTTTCTTCATATTTTTACGTGCCCTGGAGTCACAATCAACTCATAGCTGACCCTCAAAGTGATTCTCACAGATGGGAAATCACAGGAGAAGAAACTATCTTTTCCTCCAGAGCAGTTAGCAAATTCCAACCATTTGCTTTTGCATTGGGAGCACATCTTACCCATTATGCCACTGATTCTCCCTACTTTTTTTCTATATTGCTATTAGTTTTGTGTACCACTGAGTTAGAAGTAATCCACAGCTGACCCTCCAGTAGGTTTTCAGAGTCAGTAAATTGCATGTGAGGTGACTGTCCATCCTTCTCATGTGGAGCTGTTGATATGTCTATACCAAGTACTACTCTGATGGCAGTGCAATTCCTTACCATTAAGCCACCATGACTCCTTACTTATGTCTAGGTATGTGTATGTACAAAGATGGATGTGCAGACAGATTAATAAGATTGATTTAATATTGATATGATGTTATTGTTGCATAAAATTAATACAAATATGATTATCTCTGCTCCTGTTCCCTTACCATTGAAAAATATTGGTGTATCTTCTGGTAAACGTTTTTGCTTTCAGTAGTGTATAATTTATTGGTTTTAAATTTCAACAAAACATTTGTAAAATAATAATTATTTATACTTTATTTTTCTAATGTAGTTTTTAGTATGTCAACCAGAATAATGTATATCATAATACTGCCACTGTAATTATTAATTTTCAGATATTAGTTTTACATTATAAATAGTTATCATAGGGAACTCCTGTGGCCTATTGGCAAGAAGCTGCACTGCAATCCCGGAGGTCTGCGGTTTGAATCCACCAGATGCTTGCTCTGCTAGAGAAGAAGGGGCAATTTTCTCCAATACCAGTCAGATCCGATTTGATGGTACACACAAAAATAACAAAATAAAATAAAAAGATAGCTGTCTAATATATTTTTATATAGCAACTCTTTATATTAATATAGCAACTCTTTATATTAAGCACTTTTTCATTTTATCTTAATTTACTAACCTGCATAACGTATCTTGAAACCTTTTTTACTGGTTGCATGATCAGTGGACCAACGGAGATACAACTGATTACTCCTGCTTGTGAAATTTGATTGTTCAGTGTGGTTCCCACTTAAGATTACTAACAGAGGACTTTGTCCTGAAGAACCTAAATGAAGAAGAAGAAAAAACATAAAGATATGCATATGAGCTAGCACCTATAAAATACAAGTAATATTCTTAGGTTTTTAAATCATTTAGAGTCTCAATGTGGTTTACATATTTATTTCAACAGTGAAAACAGAATTTCAAATAAATATTTGTTGTTTTTGTTATTGTGCAGTGCCATCTGGTTGGCTCTGACCCGTAGTGATCCTGTCGAGAAGGAAGCAAAACCAGGTTTGATTTCTACCACCCTCACAATCTCTGCTGTACAGTACAAATTGTTGCAGTCCAACAGAATGTGGCAGCAAAGATTCCCTACTAAAAAGGAAACAATAGTTCATGAAGACAACTTCAGGTTTATATTTACTCCTAGGATAACATCTCAAATGGGATAGCATGACTCCCTTTCCCATTCCTAATAAAGATTTCATCACTGTACATGACTTGGGCTCTGAGAATTATGAATGTAATTTTCCTTCATGCAAAGCTACTAAAAAGCACAACTCCACTCATTGTTTTAACTACTAACCAGAGCAGCTCTAATAATTTCTCCTAATATGATCCAAATAGGAGAATTAAGTTTAATATGATCAGAGAAATATATTTATAAGAAATATTATTTCTTGTTTAGGTTAAGTTTCTGAGAATGTCCTGAAAGAAGACTAGAAGAAGTCAGAAGCTATTATTTATTAATTTACTTATTTTATTTTTAATATGTTAATTAGAGTGGTGGGATGAGTGTGACAGAGAAAGTGCCATTGGCACAGGATAGAGAGGCGTTTAGGGCTGTTGTACATAGGCTCGCTATGAGTCGCAAGAAACTTGATGGCACATAACAACAACAAACAATGTATATTCTAAATAATTTCTAAATTAACTGAAATAAGGATATTTTAATGTCATTTTTGCTAGCAAAACTAAAAAAATTAGAGTATTTTAAAATTTATTTGTAAAACATCATTCATTTCCATCTGATTTCTTTGTCTATAATGTAAAAATCTTTTAAAATGAATTCTTGTGTGAAAAACAATATATAAGAACTTTTGCAATAAACCTGTAGTTTCTTAAAAATGCTTCTTAGGCTAGGTAGGTATGCACAGAAAGAAAGCCAGGCCATAATGAAGATTAAGAATTTCTATTTTCAAATGGAAAATACAAAAAAAATTACTAGTAAACACCACAATCTTTATTTTGACATTTTCCTGATTAAACTGAGTTCTATAGTGCTTAAAAACCTCCTAAAATAAAACTGCAGGATATCAACTTCTTGAACCATAGAGAGTAGTAATACACTCCTGGGCTAATAAAGTTTAAGATCAATATATTCAACATGTTTTCAGTCAGCATATGAGCTATAAAAGAGCCTCTGCCTTACAAAAATAGAGATGCAATGAACATGACATTTACTACAACAAAAATGCCATCGCTTAAAAAAATTATTCATTTAAAACTCTGACCTTTCATTTTATAGAAAAATCTTTGAGACTAGAACAAACCTAGTCATAGATCTCTTATAATTTTGACATAGACTGTTATGAGAGTGTCTCTATTCTCTACTTTGCTTTCTGTTTTAAACAGTAGTGATCTGCCTACGTTTTAGGAGACTAAATTGTATGTGAGTACTGTATAAATTATTGATGACAATTTTGCTTACATTGCAAAAACAATGGGTAGCAAAAAGTAATGTGGAACCAAAGCATTTATCATTTAAAAATATTTGGCTAGATTATACAAATATATGTAACAAACATAGAAAATGAGTGTATATAAACACACATTTGCATGCTGATTGCTTTCTTTTCATATTTTAAAATGTTATCTACTGGGATTTATTATAGAATCTATTTGATGTCTTTAGTGATGATGGAGATCAAATTTTTGTCCTTAATAAAGGTATGTTGGATTCAAGTCATAGTGTTTTCAATCACATGCTATACATCTGAGAGCCGGACAATGAATAAGTAAGGTGGGAGAAAAATTGATGCATTTAAGGTGTGGTGTTGCAGAAGAATATGTCTTAGAAAAAGTACCACCATAATGCTGCTTGGAAGCAAGAATGGCGAAGTTTCATCTAACATACTTTGGGCGTGAGACAGATTTATACTACGACTGCAGCAATAGGCTCAAAAGCATTGTGGATGTTAACGATGGTGCATTACAGAGCAGGGTTCAGATCTGTTGTTCATTGGGGTACTGAGTTGTAATCAACTCAATGGCACTCAACAACAACAATATTGAAACAATATTATGCATTGGAAAGATTGAGTTTCTTAAAATATTTCTTCCTTAATATGTTGTAATGAGTAACTAGTTTTGATTTTTTGCCAAGATTTTTTGTATGTCTCTGTGTGTGTGTGTATATACATACATACATTCATACATGCATACATACATATATAAAATTCAAGATACTAAAGATCTGTATAGAAGATTCCAAAAGGCAGCATGGCATGACAAAGCAAAATATTACAATGAAATGTGCAATGAGCTGAATCAGAAAATCAAAAGCGCTGAACTCATTCATCATTTCTTAAGCTCAAGGAACTGAAGAACAAATTCAAACCTCAAGGTGATATATAAAAGTATGCTTTAGGCAGAATATGAAATGATCCAGGAAGTATTAAAAGAAGATGGAAAGAATATACTGAGTCACTGTATCAAAAGGAATTGGCAGACACAGAAGAGTTTAATGAAATAACATAAGAGCAAGAGCCTATGGTGATGAAGGAAGAAGTGCAAGCTGCTTTGAAGGAAATAGCAAAAAATAAGGCCCCAGAAATAGATGGTATACCAATTAAAATATTTCAGCTAATGGATGTTACCCTGGACGTGCTCACCAAGTTGTGCTAAGAAATCTGGAGAACAACCACTTGGCCAACTGACTGGAAGAGACCTATATTTGTTCCCATTCCAAAGAAGGGTGAACCAACAGAGTGTGGAAACTATAGAACAAAAGCATTGATTTCACATGCAAGCAAGATTCTACTGAAAATTACCCAAAAAATGACTGGAACAGCACATCAGGAGAGAAATGCCAGAAGTCCAGGCTGGGTTTAGAAGGGGTGATGGTACTAGGGATATTGTAGCTGATGTTAGATGGATCTTAGGTAAAAGCAGGGAATAACAGAAGAATGTCTATTGATTATGCAAAGATGTTTGTGTGGATAATAACAAACCGGAGCTGACTCTGAGAAGAATGGGAATCCCAGAACACTTGATCGTGCTAATGGGAAACCCATATTTGGGCCAAAAGGCAGTCATCAGAACAGAGCAAGGAAACACTACATGGTTCAAAATTGGGAAGGGCATACGACAGGGATGTGTCCTGTCTCCATACCTTTTCAAACTGTATGCAGAACACATTATCCAGGAGGCTGGGCTCTAGGAGGGAAAGTATGGTGTCAGGATTGATGGAAGATGTATCAACAACCTGTGTTATGCAGATGACACAACCCTGCTTGCTGAAACTGAGGAGGACCAGAAGTGCTTGCTGCAGAGGGTCAAGGATCAAGCCTTCAATATGGATTGAGGCTCAATGTCAAAAAGACAGATTCTCACCACTGGACCAATTAGCAGCATCAGGATGGATGGTGAAGAGATTGAGATTGTTAACAACTTCAGTCTGCTTGGCTCCACAGTCAACACTCTCAACACCAGCAGCCAGGAAATCAAAAAGCATGTTGTGATGGGAAAGTCTGCTGTTAGGGATCTCTCCAAGTATTGAAGAACAATGGTGTCACTCTGGAGACTAAGGTGCATCAGATACAGGCCATAGTCATTTTAATCACTTGTTATGCATCAGAAAGTTGGACAATTACTAGGAAGGATAGAAGGAGAATTGATGCCTTTGAACTGTGGTGCTGCAGAAGAGTATTAAGGGTACCATAGACTGCTAGGAAAACAAACAGATTCATCCTAGAGAGGGTTAAACCAGGCTGCTCTTTGGAGGCAAGGATTATGGGGCTTCATCTGACATACTTTGGATATCTTGTAAGGAGGAACAGGTCCTCGGAGAAGAACCTCATGCTTGGGAGCATGGAGGGACAGCGCAGGAGGGAAAGACCCTCGATGAGTTGGATTGATTCTGTGACTGGGGTAATCAGGATGGGTGTGTTTGAGGCAGTGTAATTGGCACAGCATAGAGCAGGGTTTAGGGCTGGTGTACACAGGATCGCTATGAGTCACAAGCGACTCGACAGCACATAGCAACAGCAACTATATATATATAGTGACCCTTCTGAGGGTTTTCAGAGACAGTAAATTGTACTGGAGGAGATTGCCCATCTTTCTCCCAAGCAGTAAATAGGTTCAAAGCACGTGCTTTTGGGATTATAGCATACGTGTAACTAGGGTACCAGAGCTTCAGTTAAAACATATGGAATCTCTGTTGTTGTTAGTATTAATAAGGAAAAAAAAAGTGTTTTGAGCTAAGTTTCTAGATTGTGATAATGGTTCCATTTAAGGAAAAAGTCACATTAACACTTTGAGTACATATTGTTTTAACAGTTTCAGTAGGTTGATTCTTAAACTACAACTATGCTATCAAGAATTATCTTACAAATTTATAAACAAAGTTTAAAAAAATTACAATCCTACTGCAATCCCAGAGGTATGCGGTTTGAATCCACCAGATGCTCTGCTGGAGAAGGAGGGGCAAATCTCTCCTGTACCAGTCAGATTTGATTTGATGGTACACATACACACAAAAAAATAATAAAATAAATTTTTTTTAAAAAGCAAACAAAAACAAATTACAATCCTACTTCATATAAAACATCTTATAAGTCATTATTTATACCTAATTCTAACAAAAATAAAGCCAATGAATTTCATTAAAATATCTGTAGGTCTTTTATCATTCCTATTTTTAAAGTTGCATGAGAAAAATAATAGATGCTTAAAATCACCTACTATGAATCCACATGTTAAATAACAAGAGAATGTCTAAAGCAAAAGTAATGCATTTAAAAAATTTACCACTAAATATTCCAATTGCTATAAATGTTAAGAAAATGACATCTCTATAATAATGTTTAACAGATGACTTATTCTCTTAGACATGACAATACCCAGAGAATTCATTCTTTGTTTTGTGCGGATATAAAAAGAGCAAGGTCATTGTAGAGATGTCTGACTTTTACCAACTTTACAAAGTAAAAGTGTCCCTGTTATTAGCATCAAGAACATAAAATCAGTTCTCATGAGGTCAGACATGTCCCCCACACTCCCATACCTTTTTCTACTCATCTCAACACCAATTTTACTATTTTGCTGGGTTCAAAATCCAAAGCAAAATCTCACAGACCACTCAGAACCATGTTGGGTATTTAAAAGGTTATAATATACTAGTAGAAAAAGAAAGGGGGAAAAACCAAACAAATAAGACAGATGCATTAAAATAAAAAAATAAGCTATAATCCAGATAATAACAAATATAGTCAGGACAGCTTCTGAAACGTGAACACAGGCACCTCAGCTTTGAGCCTTATGGCTTTAGACCAGTGTTATAAAGCTCTCAATCTTGTTAATATTGGCTACCTCCCTCAGTTTTAGCCAGTATAGCAGTTATCAGTCCTGCAAATTATGACCTCCAGCACCTATTATCAAACAAATATGGACAAATATTCTTAGTTCCAGTTCCAGTAGTACAGCAGTCCTAAGGTCCTAGTTCATGCTAGGTCTCTGGTTCAGCTACGGCTGATACAGCCATACATGTATGTAGAGCAAGAATGTGTGGTCCCAAAGGAAAACTGACATTCTCTCCTCCTGCTCCTCCTCTTCTTTCTCTTCCTCTTCCTCCTCCTCCTTCTTCTTTTTCATCTGCACCGGGATGAGGAAGGCCTCATTCAACTGCTACTAGATTTCTCAAATTATTGGCAAGACTAGACAATCCCCTTGGAGATTTATAGATAGTCAATCCCATTGAGCATAGGCTAATATGCCCTATTCTGCATCTTCTTGCCTATTTACAGAAAGTCATGTTGAAAAATAAACTCCACAGGGGACATAATTTGACTCAAGGCTATATTTAAGTCTTCATCTAACTAAAAACTATTTTAATACTATTTCTATGGATTAGCAATCTCTGTGAAAAGAAATTAAACTTACCATCAAATACTTCTAATGCATCAAATTGCTTTTCACTTTGAAATGTATCCACAAAGATGGTAATGTTATAGTTTGCTTCCACTTTAATACTCCAAGAGCAAGTCTGGGAGTTAAAATAGTTGCCTGGATATCCTGGACTGAGGATGACTCCAGATGATTCCGTGCGGACTTCATTTGCTGGGCATTGAGCTAGAGAGAAAAGTGTGGGAAAAGTTTTCTTTAACAAAGTGGTATCAGTTTCAGAAGAAATTGTCTATTCATGAATACATGTCAACAAAAAAAATTATATCAAGTGCAGCCTAATTGTGCTAAAAAGATAATTAATATTTCAACACTCTACTGAAACAAGATCAGAAATAAAATTATCAAATTTTGTATGTTCAATGATATATTTATTCATCACAGAGATCTGTTTTTAAAAACACAAATACCAACTTTATACATAGACCTCACCAGATGGACTGGTAAAGATCAGATAGACTACATATGTGAAAGAATTTGTTGGAAGAGTTGACTATAAGCAGTAAAAACCAAGCCAGGAGATGACAGTGGAATAGAACATCAAATAATCACGTGCAAGTTAAAATGGAGGCTGAAGAAAAATCAAAACAACTACAAAATATAATCTTGAGTCTATCCCAGCTAAATTTTAAAAATCATTTTGAAAATAGGTCTGAAGGACTGAACACTAATGACCAAAACCCACATGGGTTGTAGGATCACATCAAGAATTCCATGAAGAGAATAAAAGTTCACTGAAAAGATGGAGGAGAAAGAAGAAATAAAAATGCTTGTTATAAGAGGCCCTGAAAATTACACTAATGTGTCATGAAGCCAAAATAAATGTAAGATACATTTGAGATAAAAGGGCTGAACAGAAGATATCAAAGGCCATCTGGAGAAGAGAAAGCAAAGTATTATAATGAAACAGGCAGAGAACTATATTTGGAGAATAAAAAGATAAAACTTGCTTGGATTTTCTCAATTCTCAAATTGTAATACTTAGAGATACTAAGGTAAAAATCCTGAATGACCCAGGAAGCATTTAAAAAAAAAATAGGGGGACAATACAGAATCACTTTATCTAAAAGAATTGGCCAATACTAAAATATTTCAGGAAGCAGCATAAGATCAAGAGCCAATGGTAATGAAGGAGGGAGGCAGAAAATGACAACAAATAAGGGCCCAGAAGTATGAGGGATATCAATCGGCATTTTTCAAATAATAGATGAAAACCTGGACATGTTCACAAGTTTATACCAGGAAAATTTGGAGGATAGCTGGCTGGCTGACTGACTTGAAAAATATCCACAGTTATTTCCATTGCCAAGAAAGGTGATCCAACACAAAGTGAAAATTATAGTAGTTGTTGTTGTTGTTATGTGCCGTCAAGTCGCTTGTGACTCATAGCGACCCTATGCACAACAGCCCTAAACTCTGCTCTGTCCTGGGCCAATCCCACTGTCTCTGACACTCCCATCCCAATTGCCCCAGTAACTGAATCAATCCACCTCATAGAGGGCCTTCCCCACCTGCACTGTCCCTCCACCCTCTCAAGCATGATATCTTCTCCAAGGACCAGTCTCTCCTTACAACATGTCCAAAGTATGTTAGACGGAGCCTCAGAATCCTTGCCTCCAAGGAGCAGCCCAGTTTAACCCTTTCCAGGATGAATCTGTTTGTTTTCCTAGCAGTCCATGGTACCCTCAATGGACACCAAACTCAGACAATGCTCTTTTCAAACACTTGCTATGCATCTGAGAGCTGGAAAATGAATAAGGATGACAGAAGAATTGATGCCTTTCTCTGAGTTGTAGTTTTGAAGTATACTGCTTATTCTATGGACTGCCAAAGAACAAACAGATACATATTGGAGAAGCCAGAGTGCTCTTTGGAGGCAAAAATGATAAAGTGTCATCCCACATTCTTTGGTCATATTACTAGCAGAGGCTATTCCTTGAAGAGGGACATAATGCTTGAAAAGGGACAGAGACAAGAAAAGAAAGGAAGACCCTCAACCATGTCGATTGACACAGTGACTGTAACAGGCTCAAGTATATCAGCATTTGGAAAGATGAAACAGGATTCAAAACAGGGTTCAAAAGTGCCATTCTTAGAGTTGCTATACTCAACTTGACGGCACCTAACAATAGCCATACACATAAATAATGATAGTTCTAATAAAATTTATCAGGTCTTGTAGCCTGTAGATAAAGAGCTATATAGCCAACCTGAAGGTACATGGCTGAAATTCAACAATTGCTCTGCAATAAAATATAGGCAATCCCCTCAGTGCAATTACTACTTCTGATGAAGGGTCAGGCATTGGTCAGTTCCAATCCAATGGGATATAAAACAAAATAATGACAAAGACAAAGACAGCTTATTTAAATTATCAATTTCATCTGTTATGACAGTGAAATCCATTTTTAAAATACATTAAAATATAATTCAAAAGTGAATATATTTTGGTAATTTCTTTAAAAATGGAAGGGAAAGAGGTAAAAACTTGCATCTTTATATATGAAATTTGTATCTTTATATATGTTGTATAAGGTCAGGATCTGGAGTTTTAGAAATGCTACAGACCTACCTAGATATTGTAATAAAAGCTACAAACTTTTTCGAACCTTACATAAATTGAAGACAAAATATCTATTCCTCTGGTTTAATACTACCTAAAACTCAGTAATGTTAATTAATTTCTGATTCATATGGACTCTCCATTAGGTTTCAAAGCTATAACTCTTAAGAGCAGAGATTTTTCACATTTCTCCTGTACACCTCTGTTGGTAGCTATGAATCAGCGGAATGCATAGCCTTTTGATTAGCAGTGCAACTCCCTAGGGACTATGCCAGGCATCTACTTATCTGCTTTAAAATTAACATTCAATATTGTTGTTACTGGTGGTGGTGAGTTAGAAATGACTCTTAGCTGACCTTCATGCAAGTTTTCAGAGAAAGTTACTGGCATGAGAGAAGATTAACCATTTTTTTTTTCTACAGTTAGTAGATTCAAACCATATATGTTTGTATTGGCAGCACAATTCTTTACCACTTAGTCACCAGATATAATATATAGATTATCTGCAGACAATCAGAGCTCTCTAGATCAAATATAAACACAGATTATGCTACTGTGATTTTGTTGTTAGGTGTCATTGAGTCCAGTGCAATTCATAGCAGCCTCATAAACAATCAGTCTTATCCTCTGCAATCTTCACAATCTTCAACACTGTCAAGGCCATTCCACAGTCACTGTTATCCTACCATTGTTGTTGTTAAGTGCCATCGAGTTATCTGTGGCTCATCGTGACTCTATGTTCATTAGCTCTGAAATCTGCTTTATCCTGAGCCAATCTCATAGTCTTCAACAGAACAAATCCCATTTTTCTAGTCTCTGAGTAAATCCATCTCATCCTGGGTTTTCCTCTCCTGCACCGTCCATCTACCCTTCCAAGCATGATGCCCCTTTCCAAGGACCGGTCCCTCCTGGCCACATGCTCAAAGTATGTGAGACAGAACCTCAAAATCCTTGCCTCAAGGGAGCCTGATCTTGCTTTCTCCAGGACATTTTGTTTGAACTCCTGGCGGTCCACAATATGTTCAATACTCTTCTTCAGCACCACAACTCAAAAGCATCAATCCTTCTTCTATCATCCTTAATTATTGTACAGCTCTCAGATGCATAGCAAGTAATTACGAAGACCACGGCCTGGTGCACCTTATCTCTCCAGACTGACATTGTTGCTCTTCAGTATTCTAGAGAGACCCCTGACAGTAAACTTCCCCAATGCAGTTTGTCTTTTGATTTCCCGAGTGTTGATTTCGGAGCCAAGTAAGCTGAAGTTATAAACAACCTCACATTCTTCACTGTCCATCATGAAACTTCTGATAAACACAGTGGTGAAAATCTTTATTTTATTAATGTTGAACTTCAATCAATATTGAAGACCACCGTTTCTTGACCTTCTGCAGCAAATGTCTCATATCTTTTTTAGTTTCAGCAAGCAAGGTTGTGTCATCTGCATAATATAAGTTGTTGATAAGTCTTTCTATAATCCTGATGTCACATTCCTCTTCATAGAGTCCAGACTCCCAAATGATCTGTTCTGCACCTGGCTGGAAGTAATGTATATTACTAGTCCAAAAAAATGGTGACCCGAAACAGTGTCGGAATTATCAAAAGATATTTCTAATATCACATGCAAGCAAGATCCTGTTGAAGATTACCCAGAAATGACTGGAACAGTACATAGAAGAAAACTGCCAGATGTGCAGGCTGGGTTTACAAGAGGCTGTGGCACTAGGGACATCACAGCCAAGGTTAAATGGATCTTGACTGAAATCAGAAAGTACCAGAAGAATTTGTTTCATTGACTGTGTGAAGGCATTTGACTATGTATATCACCACAAATTGGAGCTAACCTTAGGAAGAATGGGGATCCCAGAAGATTTACTGCAGCAAAACCTATACATGGACCAGGAAACAGTAGTTAGAATAAAGAAGAGAAGAACTGCATGGTTTAGCATCAGCAAAGGTATGCATCAGTGATGGATCCTATCTCCATATATTTTCAATCTATGTGCAGAATAGATCATTTGGGAGAATGGAGTCTAACTTACCATAGTTACAGATAATTATACAGCTATATAGAAAAAGTCTTCTATGAAATACATTGTTTGTGTGATTATACTTGAGAAATACTTAGCAATTCTATGCACACCTTAAGAACATATACCTGTACTTATTGTAGAAGATCAAAGGCTATAGACTTCAATATGGATTTCATTTCAACATTTAAAAAAAAAATCTCCAATTTTATACCAAAAGGAAGCATCATGACAGATGAGGAAGAAAAAGTTGAAGTTGTCAACAAGTTCCTTTTACAAGTATACACAAACATGTATGGGAATAGTAGTCAAGAACTCAAAGGCCTTGATTATATCAGGGAAATCAACTGTCAAAGAAAGACCTTTTCAAAGGGCTAAAGAGCAACAGTATCATTTACACACTAAGGTGTACTTGATCCAAGACATTGTATTTGCAATTACTTCCCATGTCGTTAAAAATGAAATAAGTAAAGACAACAGAAGCAGAATTGGTTCCTTATAATTTTGGTGTTGATGATTAATACTAAATATTCAGAAAATGTGAAAAGAATGAACAGATCTGTCTTAGAGGAAGC